CTCTTTTGTAGACTAAATTTCTCCCAGCAAAGGTGAAGCACATAGATCCAGCAATCCTAAAACCACGAGAGTAGCCAACTTTAGGGTGAAGTGGACGTGGAGATGGTAGAGTGGAGAGTTCTAAGGAACCTAATGTCCTGGCTGACATGATTGAGCCACTGGATATGTCCACCCTAAAGCCTGTCTTTTCTCTGGACTTAACTGCTTTTCTGGGCCAGTAAATTTTCTATATTACTTAAGGGGACTTTAAATTGGACTGCAGCTTAAGTTACCTTATCCTGTATATCTCCATTCTGAGCTCCAGACCCACAAATTAATTTCTTTTGCAGGACTTTTATACTTGTATGAGCAGTGGTTACTTGGAACATAAAAAGTCTAAAATATACTCTTCTTTGACATCCTGCTCCTAAACGTGCACCTGCATCCATCTCCTACTTTCCCACATCAAGTTAGTTGCTAAGCCCTGTCCATTCTATTTCCACAGTATAATCCTGCATTGTCTGTTATCTTTATTATTACAATAGTGTTTTGCCTTCTAACTAGTCTCTTTGTCTCCAAGTTCTCACTTTAATAACCCCTTGTCTCCTCTGCTGCCGTTTCCAAAATGCACATAGAAACCTTTCACTTTTATACTGTGGTGCCTGCCCAAAGCTTTCAGAATAAACAGTAAACTTCTTAGCACTATGTACAAGGATATGTCTTCTTCTGACCCTACTCAAACTCAAGATTTCTTCATCCTCTACCCTGCAACTTATATACCCTGTTCTCCACATTCATTGTGTGCCTTGCCATTCTTGCATGAAGAATGCTGCCTTCTGCTTCAGTGCCTTTGCACATGTGCTTTTCTGTCTTTGGAAAGCTCTGGGTCTTGTGAGGTGGCCAAGCTTTGATTAGGCAGAAAAGAAGTGATGATGCATTACTAAAATGGCAAACACCCACTGCCACTTAAAGTCACTCTTTGTACAAATGTCTTCTTGGATCTAAGACTGCATCTGACACCTGTTGCTGCTTCCTGGATTTTCCCATCCACACCTCAGACCTTAACCCTTGGCGACCAAACTGTCTCTGCTGTATCCCCTGCCTGTAAGCACCGCATCCATACCTGACACCAGCTGTTGACAGTAGTCATTACTGAGCTAATGCCAGAGACTTCATCTGAATCTAAGAGGTATCCCAGCTCCTCCCAGGCTCAGACTCCATCACTGGACCATCCACGGCCCAGCCCACCATAGAATAGTTGGCCTTGGTGAAGGCAGATGTAAGAGGAACCGTTGTTTTGAAGATTATTCGTAACCTTTCCCACCACTTAATTAAGCACAAGTCTATTCCCTGATACAGTGTAGTATAATGGGTAATCCTTGAAAGCACATATTTACAGAATGTTGAATTGGATGTTGAAAGGTAAGGTAAGGGTGATAAGAAATCAAGTATATATTTATTAAGGAGAGTAAGATGAGTGGAGGAGCAAAACAAGGGACAGTGAAAAAATTAGGATGGGGCGAATTGGACTGCTTGAATTTTTCTTTTTAAGGAATAGCTTTCTGTGTTCATGGAAATACCTATTTGATATGCTGAGAAAAAAGAAATCCAAGTGCCCTTCACTTTTGTAAGCTGACTAGTTTTTTGTGCGGAGGGCAGAAGCAACATAATCACTGCTTTGAAGCTTAAACTGGGATTCTTGGTTGATGACTTAACATTGTGAGGCCTGACTTTCATCTGTGTAATGAGGATAAAAAATCTACCTCAGTAGTGGTCATGAGAATTAAACGAGACTATTTGAGTAAAGATGTCTCACAAAGAGTGATTGTTTTCATTGCTGTGGTGGTAAATGTTTAATAGCCAGCTCTTCAAAGAAAAATAAAACAAAACATTGATTTGTTATGGCTGCCAATTTCCATGGTGTAAATGTTCCCACCATGGCCAGTTTCAAGTTATCAGTGTGAGAGCACTGAACATAGACTTGGAGATGACTTCACCACTGAGCTAAAAGGGTGTCTGGGGTGAACATAGACTTGGGAAGATACACACATAATGTAGTTCAGCTATCTAGCACACCACTGGTTCCTTCTCCTTTCTGCATTAGATTCCAGAAAAATCCAGGTGTTTTCTTTTTAGCAAAATAAATCCTTACCCCCTACAACCATTATGTTAGAGTTTGATTTTAGTCACACCTGTATCATGGTTAACAGAGAATCAGTTACTGAATTAATAGAAAGAGTGAGAATAGTGTGAGATGAGAGATGCTGAGCTGTAGCAGCTTATTCCCTTAAATTAAGCATGAATCTTTCTCTCAGGCCCCCTTGAAATTTAACATCACTGTATCCTGAATAGATGTTTACCTGTGTTTTATTGACTATGCAAAGGCAATCAACTGTGTGGATCATAACAAATTATGAATAACATTGCAAAGAACAGGAATTCCAAAACACTTAATTGTGCTCGTGAGGAACCTGTGCTTAGACCAAGAGGCAGTCATTTGAACAGAACAAGGGGAGACCGAGTGTTTTAAAATCAGAAAAGGTGTGCATCAAGGTTTTGCCCTTTCACCACACTCATTCAATTTGTACGCTGAGCAAATTATCAGAGAAGCTGGACTATATGAAGAAGAACATGGCATCAGAATTGGAGGAAGACTCATTAACAACCTGCGTTATGCAGATAACCTTGCTTGCTAAAAGCGAAGAGGACATGAAGCACTTATTGATGAAGATCAAAGACTACAGCCTTCAGTATAGATTACACCTCAACATAAAGAAAACAAGAATCCTCACAGCTGAACGAATAAGCAACATCATGATAAACAGAGAAAAGACTGAAGTTGTCAAGGATTTCATTTTACTTGGATCCACAGTCAGTGCCCATGGAAGCAGTAGTCAGGAAATCAAACGAAACATTGCATTGGGCACATCTGCTGCAAAAGACCTCTTGAAAGTGTTGTAAAGCAAAGATGCCACTTTGAGGACTAAGATGTGCCTGACTCAAGTCAGGGCATTTTCAGTCGTCTCATATGCATGTGAAAACTGGACAATGAATGAGGAAGACTGAAGAATTGATGCCTTTGAATTATGGTGTTGGTGAAGAATATTGAATATACCATGGACTGCCAGAAGAACGAACAAATCTGTCTTGGAAGAAGTATAGC